AAAGATATAAAAAAGTGTTTCTTGGTTGTGACGCCAATGTCAGCCTTAGAGAATTTCCACAGTCTGACTTGGACTCTGATCTTCTTTTTGGGGCTCTTGTCACCTTCATCCCACTGGAGTAAAGTGGATATAGAGCCTTTTAACATCAAATCCTGTCCGCATAATGAACCCTCAGCAAACCGCTATCTCATGAGACATTTATGTTTGTTAAAGTGCCGGTGGAAATTGTTTACTTCATTTAAAGCGTCCTTCAATTTCCCAAGTGCTGACTAATGGCAACTTCCCGGACATTGTTTTTCAGACCGAGACGGAGCTTTGTGAAAATGCAAAAAAAAAAAAAAAAAAATCATCGATCTGTAACGCGGATACAAAACAACCCCACACATATATTGAGGCTCAAGGAAATTGGCTAGCCATTTCATTTCCCACTCATATCACCCTTGTTCGTGATTAATGAGACAGACAGACGTTTTGGACGGAGAATGTGGCGGACAACGCACATCAATAATCAGAGCTGCTCTGCATTCCCTCCGCCTTGCTATCAGCCCGAGTGCAGGGGGAAGAAGTTAAGTGAATGCAGAATAGTTGGAGATTTTCCATTTGAGAGTAAACATCAAAAGCTATTCTCAGGACAAGATGGAGATGCAGCAGGTGTTTGGTATTACTGCAGGTGGCTGATACCGAGCGGCGAAAAGCACTTGGCTGAAGGCCCTGCTCTGGCTCTTATGTGTGTGACATAATAGTAAATGCATATGAATTTCCGACCCAGTCTGTTTCTCTTGGCCTGGGTCGACTGGAACATTTCTGAGAGATACAGAATTTATATTTTACATTTGCAGCTTAAGGCGGCTGCACAGTGGAGCAGTGGTCTGTGCTGTTACCTCACAGCAGGAAGGTTACCTGGATTGTGTCCCTGCTTTGTTAACTGGACGAACCGGACATGTGAATGTGAGTGTGGAGAAGTGTTTGCCTGAACTTGACCTTCGACCTGTCCAGATTGTCTCCTGCCATCTGCTCACTGTCTGCCTGTGTTTGTCTCCAGCTCCCCCGTCGCCCCATGACAACATTAGACAACAGGAGAAATAATTGCATGAATGCATAAATAGATACATAAATAAAAGAATAATTAAAAATGTATGAATGCATGAAATTACCATAACAAAAGCCCAGATTTTCTGTTGCTTCTCCTCGTCCAATGTTTCCAGTAAATAAAGTTTGAAGCTAGAGAGAAATAAAATGTCTTTCTTTTTTGGCGATCTTAATTGGACGCTACATGAAATGAAATCTGTGTTCTCGCCAAAGATCGACAAAAAAGAAAGTGGGAGAGTGTTTCTTGCAGCAAACATGTAAACAGGTACAGGACGAAGTGCTTCATTCGGTCAGACAGTGGCAAATGAGATTTTTTTTTTTTTTCCCATTTAGAGCTCCTTGCGTTTCGGGGTGTAAACGGTGAACCTTAGCTGAGGGAATTGCTCGGAGCAGCTGTGGCAATTCTTTTTCAAACTGCACTGTTCTGTGCTCGCATTCTGCAATATCAGCCCCGGAGTGAACGAGGGCAGCCTCGGAGCGGTCAACACACCAGGGAAACTTTATAGTTCCTGGCAAGTGAGCGCACATGGACGGGCGGGGAGGACATCATGGCCAAAAAGGCTCTGCAGTAATCAAAGGGAATGCAATGAGAGACTGTCCCAGTGAGTAATACCGTTGTGACATAATAAAATTAGAGCCATAATCAGCAGCTGAGCCGACCGGCCGGCCGGCGCACACAAGTAAAGGGCGAGTGAGGAATGTGTTCATAAGAGTAAAGCTAACAGCAGTGAAGCCACCGGACGCTGGGGATATTGGAAACATCAGTGAGGAATTTATCTGGACTGCAGCAGGACATCCAACAACATGGCCGCTGCTGCAAACTACACATTTATATACAGTATATGTATTTGTTATTTTATTCTTTTATTTAAGTGATTTTCCAGCGCTCCCTATGCTAACTAGTTATTAGTTATTTACATGTGGATGCTGGTTATCTTTGAAGATTTGTTGTTCTCTTGGCAGAAAAAAAAACATCAGTGGAGCCACTTTTGAACTGACAAAGACAACATCAGTAACCAGAGTGAGAACACTCGTAGATTTGATGTCTTCAAATGTAAGATTTTTTTTTTAGGAATGTCACATGGGATTTCTCAGGATTTCAGCAAAGGCAAAGAGCAGACAAAAATCTCACCTCTGTGATAGCGCACACGGAACAGCGTCTTTTAAGTAGCAGCACCAGTGAGTGGAAGTGCTTTCTCTCCTGTGACGAGCTGAGTCAGTGATGGATTAAAACTTACTCCACTGTTAAACCCCCGGATCAATAACCTCAGAGCATGAGGAAATGTGCCCTCCTTTCTCACCACTGACTCTCCTTGTGCATCATTTCTCTGCTTTCATTGTGTTTTTAATAGATAATTTACTTTGTGTGTAATTATGAAAAACACTCTTCAGACTCCAAATTGTTACCGTAGGACATTAGAAGGTAGCTGCTCTCGATAGTATTAAAAAGGCACCGTGCTGCTGTGACCTCGTGCCCCGTAACGCTAAGTTAAATGTCATCTAACAGACGACTGCTCTGTTTACTCACTTTATTATTGATTTATTGACATGTGACAGTGGGTAAATAATCAAGCACTTCAACACAAACACCGCATTAATGCTGGGGAAGGTTGGCTATTGGCTGATGAGCCGAATCGATTCGCAGCTAATCCGCCATTTTATGCATTAAGAGACGTTTGATTTCTAAACAAACTTAATGAAGACGATGGAGAAAATTAATTCAAAGGCAGAATTTTTTTTTTTTTTGGTCCAGATAATGGACTGGAGAAAGACTAATCTGTTGCCCAATGTCATGTGAGACGTCTGTCAAATGGAGATTGACTAACAACTAACAACACAACGGAGTGACACGGTGAATAGTCCATGTTGCTTTTGTCACATTTGTTCCAAGGTAGGAAGGTAGAAAATGTCATCGTGGCTTGTTCTGTCACGAGGGTCTCTCATTATGAAAGGAAAATGTCAAACTGCTCTAGCGAGGAGAAGTAATGCACCATGTCGGTTTTTAATATTCTCATGAAATGAAGAAAAAAAAAAAGAAAAGTGCTGTCCTTGTAGCTAAACCTTTACTTACGTGTTGTATTGTTTAATTTATTTTTAAATATTGTTTCCCTGTGGACTACGAGTTCTGAGAACACAGACAAAAAAAATGTGACATAAATTATGTGATGGGGAGTAAAAAAAGACGCTAAATGCTAAACGCTTATTACTAAAAGTAAAAATAATTCTCTTAGCAACCCAAAGATCTGATGTGAGAAGTCTAAAATGTGACTCTTGAAATTGACGGCCGGCATCAGAGGTGTGCTTGAGAGAAAAACGAGATCCACAGAGCACAAACAGAAAACACTTTACTGTAACTCCACTCTCAGAAGTTGATGACTTCTCAAAATGGAGGATTAGGCTGAAAAACTACAGCTCTCTCTCTCTCTCTCTCTCTCTCTCTCAGTCTCTCCCTCTGAACCCCTCTCGCCCTCTGAACAGACACTCTGCTGTCTCAGCATGGACAACTTTGATCAGTGCAGTGGTTCCACTCTTCACATAGACAAAGTCAGGGTACCAAGATGGTGGTCAGCACGTTGCCTCAAGTGACGACTCGCTCGCCCGTCCCCTCACATAATAAAGTCAACACAGTCTGATTCATGGAAACAGACAGAACCATTGGACTGTCTATAAAAAGTGTCCCTGGGTATCCTTGTCTCGCTCGCTGTCCTATACACTAACCAACCTTGACCACATGCAAATCTGCAGTCCACTGTGAGTAATGGAGCTTCAAACAGCAGACAGCGCCACTTAGGAACCTCCCCGTGCATCGCTCTGTGTCTGCGCCGCTGATAAATGGCCGTCCCGTTTGTTTTTCCACTTTGAGAGCGAAGATGAAATTAACAGGCGACGTGTGTAGCCACTTTTCTTTTCCTCTTAAATGTGATCCTCTCCACTCTCCTCCGGGGGGGAAAAAAAATTGGGATGATCTGATCAATTTCTAATCAGGAAAGACCTGCAGCCTTTCTCTTGTTAAAATGAAAGCCCCTGCAAATCCCCTGGACGGAGGTGTCGTTTGACAGCCGTTATAAACAGAGTGCATGTTACACGTTTCCACGGATAGTTTTCACCAACGCTTCCCTCGAATCTGCTGGTTTTTGTTGAAATCCTATATTAGGATTTGATACCAGTTTCAATTGATAGATAGATAGATAGATAGATAGATAGATAGATAGATATATGTAAAATGTTTACTTTTTATATGACAAAGAGACACATATATGACCATCTTGATTTACGTCTTGCAGCATGATTAGATACGATGGCTTTCAAAACAAAGACTTCTTCTCCTTCCTTCTGATGTTCAAGGGAAATTAGTGTTGTTGTTGTTTTTTAAAATCCCACTTCAAGTTTTTAATTGTAATATCTTTTGACTAGAAGTTTGAAAAACAACAAACTAACAGTGGGCTGTTTCCCTAAAGGTTTATTTCCAGGGTTTTAATTTGTGCTGCATATTTCCCAGACAGTTCTTCTGTATTTCGATCTTGAAAAAAAAAAAAAAAATTACGGCTGAGGAATGAGATCAATGTCTAATTTGGGTTTTAACTCAATAATTGATTTGTGCATTTAGATTTAAATTTTTCCAGAGATTGCAGAGCGCTGTTTCCAATTATTGACATACTGTGGACCGTGGGATGCTGGTCCTTTACTCCATTTGATTCAGAGGATCTGTAATACTTTACACATCCACTGATGAGTTCTCTGCACCGGTTTGGTGGCTGTCCTACAGCAGAGACATTATTGTATTTTTTATCTTAGTTTTTTTTTTTTTATTAAATGATGAAAGATCACGAAATGAAAAGAAAACATTAAAGCAAACGTAGCAGTGTGATTTTGTTTGTCGCTGAGATTCTATCTTTTCCTTTTTCTTCTAGGTGGATCATTACAGATTGGTCTTGCACTACTACGAACCAAGCTGTCGGAAACTTGGGGGACGAGCGGTGAGAGGAAAAAAGCAAAAGAAGCTAGTATTTGAATCTGGAATTACCCACAAGCAAGACTTTGGATTTATCTTCCTTGGATTTCTGTGAATTTGTCTGTTCTGGAAATCACTGGTACCACATGCTGAGTACTTCAACTAATTTTTTTTTTGTCTTACACCTTTAAGACCCTTCACGAATCACAAAAAGTATATTTTGAAGTGAATTTTTTGTCCAGAAAGATTTAAACCGTTGGTGAAATGTCTCCGCTGAAGGGGAGAAGAATCAGGACCTGCGCTCTGTTGTTTTTCGCCGTCACTTTCACCATGTTACTTTTGACTTACACTTTCAGAGACCCGTCGCTCTACTTCTTCAAGCACGCCTTCCACCGCCCCGACAATGTTTTCTCCAAAGGGCCTTGCGCCTGTCATCGGTGCACGTCGGACCCGGAGGGAGACCCGTGGTTCACTGAGCGCTTCAATCAGTCCATGTATCCACTGATGACCAGAGAGAACGGCATCCTCTCGAATGACACCCTTCAATGGTGGCAGGTAAGATGAGAGAACAGAGAGAGAGAGAGAGAGAGAGAGAGAGAGAGAGAGAGAGAGAGAGAGAGAGAGAGAGAGAGAGAGAGAGAGAGAGAGAGAGAGAGAGAGACTAAATCTTCATCGTACTAAATCTTCATCGTCTAAAAACAGAAATGACACGCAGCTTTTAGACTTCAGAAGTGTTTATTTCCACCACGTTTATTATTGAAAATTCAAGGGATCCTGAGCAGCACGAAGCTGCGAACCAGACTCCTACGCACAATTTGTCCACATTAAACAAGTGGGATGGGAGATATGGAAATTGTTGTTCACTCGCATATAACTTCTGCATATAAGCTAGAGTCCTTTTTTTATTTTTATCAGAACTTGCAGCATTTAAGATTACACAACGCCGTTTCCTAGCCAACGTTTTTGGACGTTATTTTTCAAAGCGAGCTCATTAGAGGGAAATTTGAAAATTCTCCAAATGAGCCCAAGTGACAACACAGCAGCAACGGATGTGGATGCTCACGACTACTGCACAGTTACTGAAAGCGGTGATTCAGAACAGTACTAATGGACTCTTCTCTGCATAATGCATTCATTGCAGTAATGAATACTTTGAGGATTTATCTAAAAATAAATGAATTAATAAAAATATATACTTTTGTCGATATAAATATATTTGTGATATTTCTGCCGATATGCCGATATTGCCCAAACATTTAATTTCCGATTCCGATATCAACCGATACCGATATAGGCCTAGTAATGGCACCAGCATTCTGCATACAATCCCCTGATTATTAAAATGAGCTGCAATGCTGCCATCTAGTGAGTTTCACTTCAATATACAGTCGTTTATCCCCAGTTTTATAAAACATTATTTGGCCAAACCCAGGCATTACGTCATCGGATTTTCATCAGAAGAAATAAAATAAAATTATAAATATATATATATGTCATTTCATTGTTATATTAGTTATTAGTGCTTTAATTCAGCCAATCTCTGTTAGTAATGTCATGGTTATGGTTGTGTAAAAGCTGCATGGTGTGATGTTCAGGGTCCATTTTTATCTTGCTGTGACATAAAAATGTTAAATTCTCATCTGCAAAAAAATCTACATAGATCTAAATGCATTTCTTTCCAGCAAACCAACCTTGCAAAGTTGTAAGATTGTGTTGACTGTGATTCTGCGTAAATGTTTTTGATTTTAAAAAACGTAAATTGAAATTCATGTCGTCTCCGTGGCTAATTACGTACCGCCTGTAGTCAATCCAATCAAGCCCAAATTTACTGTTGTTTCTGCACCACCCAATATTAGATTACGGCGCAGCGCATTAGAAAAGCTTGTTCGCCAAATTTATGTCTCGCAGTTACTCCGTCCGTGTCTGGAATGAATCCAGCGCCTCTGTTATTCCCACATTCACGCCGCGTCAGAGTAGAGGCTTGAAGAGAGAACATGCTGCAAGGTTGCCTCCTGTCAGTACTGATTTGAGAAAATGGTACTCAGAGAGGGAGCTTGATGGAGTAAGTGTCATGTACTAATGTCAGCGCGGCTACATGGTTCCTTCTACACTCATGCAAGGAAAGGGCATGACCTCAAGGTGTAGCACGGGATCAATGTTCCAGTGAGACACGGTAAAAGGGGAAGGTCAGTAATGTAGAGAAGCTGTTCAGTGATGTTTCTTTTTTAAGAAGAATACAAAATATGACGTTTAAAATAGAGGAGAGGAAGATTATCCAGAGCATGTGGCGTTTACCTGCTTACAAACGTGTGAATTTGCAACAGAATAATTCTGTATCCGCTCTGTTTCCAGCTGTCACAGAACAATAGCTCACAGAAAAAAGAAAAAAGAAAAAAAAAATTCATGCACTTACTCGATGTTTCAAAGCCTCCAGATAACGGCCAAGCCAAAAGAGCCCCTGCAGGCTGAGCTGCAGACGTTATTCCACAAATGGGCTTCGGCTCCACTGCCCTTGTTCAGTCACATCTGCTTACAGTGTCCCCGAGGTCCTGTCCTGAAGGCCTGTCTCTGCTGTGTCACCAGCTGTTGCAGCCAGATGAACATCCGGCCAACTACAGCCAAGTGGTGGAAAAGCTGTTTCAAGTTGTTCCCAATGACGTGCACTACGCGGATGCCAGTCCCGGCCGCTGCAGGACCTGCTCGGTGGTGGGCAACTCCGGGAACCTGAAGGGCTCGCAGTGCGGACCTCTGATCGATGCCAGCGATTTTGTCTTCAGGTGAGTCAAAGATATCATTTTGACATTCGCGAGTCCGATTTTTTGCAAGTACATTTGCACGAGGGTGGTTAAATGTAAAACATGGTGTTAATCAATACATCAAACAGGAAGTCAGGAAGAAATATAGTTTTTAGTAGTGAAACATAAGATGCCAAGATAAAAAAAGATTGCAAAGATTGATGTTTAGTGACGATCCCTAAACCAAGAGCCTGACAGAAAAGGAGAGATTACACATTTTCCTCCTGTAATCTTTCGCCCTGTGCAGAGAGTGAATGTTAAGAGTAGATTAATATCACAAAGCTGCCCCGAGAGGGGGTTGTCGGCGTGTGTGTTCTCTTGTTAAATTGTTAGCTTTTATTAATTAAATTAGGCTAACTGGGAAATCAAAACACAATAAACTGTGCCTTGCAAATTCCGGATACAGGAAGTGTTGACGTGCGGGTTGAGGTGAGGGTGAATACGACCCCTGAGGAGAGATATAGATGTCCAGTTGGTGTGAGAGGAAGCAGGATATACATGTAGACAGTGGATGTGTATATGCACAACGCAATTCGACCAAATCCTCTCAAGGCTTCTCATGAACTAGTATGAATACTGAACAGCCGGAGCTCATCGACTGAAGCGTCTTGTTTGTTCAGAAGATTGGTCTTGAAGAGTAGATTTGTTATGTTTGATGTATGAGGACTTTTTGTCTCTAACGTTTTGTGAGTTCAGAGTAATTTTTAATTCAAAAAATTATAATTTCATGTTATTTTTTCTTCCATATGAAGTGAATAGTAAATATAAACTAAGTCTTTGACATCTTGGCTATGAACTCCTGATGAATGATGCCCACATTAAACACAGTTTAAGTGTTGTACGGTTCAGGATTTTTTTTTATTAAATAATAATAATAAAAATAATAATAATAATAATACTATTCATAAATAGTTTTTGGGGTTTTTTGCATTTTTTTCTAATCCTCCCTCCAATTTTCTGAGGCCCCTGTAGCGCCCCCTGGTAACCCCACTTTCAATACCACCAGTATAAACACTGATGTGGCTCATCTGTGCAGATGTTGGGGCAGTAAATTCATTCTAACCAGCAGCTACTGTATGACAGATAGAAATCCCACCACTGATACCCGCGCCCTCCCACCCCCATCATGGTATTCTGCCATATATCAAACAAATGTTGTGTTCAAAACATCCCTTTGCATAATGCATTCACTCGCAGGACTTTTAAATGCAGATTATTTGATCATTAAATGATGTAATGCATGTGTATGCCCCTAGGGCACGCCACTGTATGTTTGTTGTAAGTTAGTGTGCTGTCATGCACGGCCAGGATTCTCATCACTTTTATTATTTATTCTGCTAAACTGAGGATCATCCAGCCCTACATTTTACACACGGTGATGTAAGCTCCTGCAAATAACCTCATTTGGATGGATCCCATAAAGGCAGCAGCTGTAACAGGCAGGTACATCCCTATCGGAAAACTCCGAAATCCCAGTTGGAAGTCGGCTTTTTAAACTGGGATTTTCACAGATAACTCTCCTGCCGGGTTGAAGAGATTTGGCTACGGTGGGGATTTACGGCGCAGCGAGGGATTCCCAGCCGCTACTTGATTCCGAGGAATGAAGTGCTATTATCATAATGATTTGCTCCTGGGGGGCACGTGGGAAAAAAAAAAAAAAGCACATGTTACCATTTCAAAAATTGCCTCCTCCCTATTACGCGCCTCATACTCAATGCGAAACAGTGGCACATTGTTTGCAGTCATGGACGTGAGGCTTGAAAAGACTCATTTCCAATGGCTGGTTATTGGATCATTCCTCCCAGCGACGCTGCAGCTGTTAAATGTGCATTATTGCTGCAATTTCTTCAAATTAAGATTTCATTTCTGTGTGTGTCTACGCTGCAGTCACAACCTACACTTCGTACAGAACCTATTTGTAATTGTGACACAAAAACAACACAATCCTTTTTTTGTTTTTTTTGTTTTTTTTTGTTTGATTGTGTCTTGGGCTAAAACACTATAAATGCGTCAGCCAGACACTGTAAGAAGGAGGGACCATCCATCAAATGTCCATTTGGACACAGAAGGAAGGAAAAATCAGAGAAACATTATCGACTGTAGAAGTGAATGTTTCCCTCTGCTGAAAAATAGGAAAAGGCTGCAGACCTCAGATTGTTACTCTTAAAAAAAACTAAAAAAAACTTTAACCAAAGTCTGACCATCCATGCCCAGGATCTTCAAATAAATACTATATACAGAAACTCCACACTAGCTCTGAATACAAAGTGTGGAGTGGGAATAATTCACAAAAAACACAAATGTCTTTGTTACAATTCTAAACCCGTCGCATCTGGACCAGTTACATATCTATAAAAATAAAGTATTCATTCAAGCCACTGTGGTGTTGGCCAGGAGCGGGCAGAGCGGGATGGATGGAGACGGACGTCAGTGGGGGTTAGTGACAGGAGATCAGCAAGCGAAGTCGGAAGGTCACGTTTAGAAGACGGTAGTGAGATCTGCTATGATGTGTAGATCTGGAGTGTAGTTAGTAGTGGAGTAGTTTATATATATACAGTATATATATATATATATATATATATATACTGTATATATGTACTGTATATGCTATATAGGCCTACCATCATCATAACCAGTTGTTACTTGGTCGGATTATGAGTTATACACAGACCTGAAGTCTGAGCTGTGTGGCTCTTAAACAGACTCGACAAACCTCATACCGAAGCTACAGCTGGAAACAGAGTCCAATGCTGCAAACTGATAATGACACGGATCAGCAGCCAGGACACTCCAGGCATTTTTAAATGAAATGCTATCGACC